ATAAGTTCATTGCGTAGTCCGCGCATGTGCTTATCTGATTTTTCCTATATGCGATATGTTTGCCTTTACTAGAAGTGTCTGTGGTTAAAATTTCAACAAAATATATTAATAAATAAGAAAGTTGATACTGCGCCTGCGCATGCGCACATTACTCGTCAAGATTGTTCTTGATTGAGGTGACAGAGCTATAAGCTACCGATTGCAAAAAGAACGAACTAAATATTTTGAAAACTGTGGGAATAGAGGCCTCGGTCGGACAGACGGACGACGGACAGAGAGAGTGGCTGCAATAGCGCACCCACCTTCCTTGGAAAATGCGCTAAAAATATAAGCGGATTATACAAAGAGGAACAGGAACGTTATACAATTTTCTTGCTTCGGCATTAGTTTTATTTCTATTCGAGGTGCTTACATACAAAATTTCATTTTCCCATCTTAACAAATAAAAAAATTGGATTGCGCAGATACAAAAGTTGGGGCAAATTTTTTATGCATCTGCGCAGTTTCTTGAGGTTTAAGGAATATTACTAACACAGAAAACCGGACATTCATATGTACAAACAACAAAAATTATTTAAAAAAACCTTCTTTTCAAGTGTGGGCAGTTTTTGGGCTGTAACTTTTTATTCCGTTAGTTTACTCAGCTGAAAAACAATGGCGACCTTTCTTATATCCTTAAGAATATGTGTACCCATTTTCAAAATTATCGGACGTTTCTACACAAAGTTATCGTGCATACGGGCGACAAACGGACAGACAGACAGACAGTAATACAAAATTATGAACGGTCTCGAGGATCTTTAATAAGTAATAACAAAGAATCAACGAACTCGTTAACGATAAATAAAGTATGGATACGTGCGCCGCATGCAAGATGCATGTTTAAAAATGTAGTTAATGTATTTACGATGCTAAACTAAATCGATTACAATTGTAATCAGTAATTAAACACAAATTTTGTAAAGTAGGTACCTAATCAATTACTGTAAATACTTTTATGATAAAGTAATTTGTAATCAGTATTCGAATACTTTTTTGAGTAATCATTCCAGCTCTGCTTGTAAGTAGGTATAGTGCTTGATTATGACGATATGAAATAGGAATACGATATGGGAAGAATATTTAAACTCGATTACCGAACATGTTTTGTATTTTCCCGCTTCGATCGTTCCGTGACAATAATTAAGGTAGTTTCTAAGACGGGCATTTTCAGCTACTCTCAACTAGGTGGCAGCATATTCCGGTACATCTTTTTACAATCATCAAGAATTGGCGCGAACCGGTTGGCTTACTATTTGTATTATACCATTGTTTAAATACTTTATAGTTGAACAGATCCAATGTAAAAATACTTGCCGTTATATTTCTTTTGATACAGCTGTACCTTCCGCATTTTGCATCCGGCAAGTGGTGTACTCTATTAATAACAAAGAAAAGTACGTTAAAAAAGTTGAGGATCACAACTTGACTACGCATTCCTTTATAAACAAGGATAAAGTATAAAAACATTAGAGGAATGTCGGTGTTGATAAGCAGATATATAAGGTGTCATTGTTTAGAATGATGGTATATCAAGTTACAGCTATCTTACATTATATGCCACGAGACGATTATCCCTTTAATAAAAGACTGCATACGTTGCCGTTTCAGTAATAAAGTTCCATTTTGCCAAGTTTACTTAGCTAATTCTGTTTTTTTTCAAAATATCTTTGAATTTAAACCACCATCATTTTGGTAGAAATTTTAGTGATTATGTACTTGCATTCTTTTGTATTAGTTGCCGTTGCATGCAAAAATGAAATTACAGTTACTTACTTACTTATTAACCGTGCATGATGAGAGCATAACTATTTGTTTGTATGCAAGTTACAAAAAAGATTATCACTTGAGAAAAACAGCCCTCGCCATTTTCCTACAGCTACTGCAAAGTGTTGCCAGGTGCGACGGGATTCATGATTCATTAGTGCCGAAGCTATTTTACGCGGACAAAGTGCGGACTGCAGTGACGATGGACATTGGAAATGTCTCTAAATTACTATTTGTACAGAAGAAGGAACCTATGTGCAATTTTTTTGTATAAATGCAACAAATTTGTAAGACAAAACAAGCATTGTTTCTTTGATAATCTCGTATTCACAGAAAAACGATGCAATTTTTTTCATTTCTGATAAATGATTTCACTACCAGTAAATTGATTTTTTTCACTACTAGCGTCTGATGACATGAGTTGTTCAAAGTGGTTAATAATGTGGACATTATTACCTAACTAGTAGTCAATAATGAGAACTGTCACTTTTAGAAAACACAACGCGAAATTTCGCTCAGTAAACGTTTAGACAAGTTCTCTAAAATGAATAATTGCCACCATCAGTCATTTCCAGAGAAATTACATATCTAAAATTATCACATTTTGAAAAAATTCGAACGAAATTACTCTTTGAAAATATCTCAATGACAAAAAATAGGGCCTGGTTGACCTCTACTTCCACGTACTTGATGGTTTTTGCATGTTGTTTACTCTAATAGCCATGTCACAACTGTTTTTCTAACCACTGGTAGGTAATTATATTCCAGAAAATGATGGCAAAACGTACAAGTGGACCTAACGCATATATACGCGCGGTTTCCTTTTAAAGGAATTTTTCAAAAGAAATTGCTGTGTGATGAAATGTGATGGTTTTGTCCGCCCGTCTGTTCGTTCGTATATCCATCTGTTCCTCGTCTAAACTTGAAAACGAAAAGAAACAGCGACGTTAATCCTTCACCAATCGATTTCAAGGATTAGTGCTAAATATTGAAGGATCCTTAACTCGGCCCACCACGTTTTTAACGTCCATTTATTTCAACCTTGCAAAATACTAATAAATAAATTCGAATCTAGGGCATCATAATAATGCTCTTGGTCTATTTCCCAACGATCTTGGTGCATGATAACGATTTTGACATGATTTGATCAGAATACATATGGTCAATAAAAATACATCAAATTCATGTTTCCGGCATTGAAAGCTTTTACAACTCTAAATTCATGTGTGAAGACTAATTTTGGGTACATTTGCTCTAAAACTTTTGACCTAGACCACAGAGAAGAATATTGAATTGTTACACATCTAAGTGTCAGGGAATAATCTAGCGACAGTCCGAACTCGATACATGACCTAGGCAATGAAAATATGTTGATTTCTATTATACTGAGCCCACAGTGTTTCCTGTTCCCGTTTTACTCGAAGTCCTATAACTTTTGTTCCTGTTGAGCCAGCTTCCTGAAAATCAATAGCGTCCGACCCTCGATACGACCTTAATGTCCAATAAGTATCTACTCGTACGCCATTTCAACATGATCGGTCACTTTTAAAAAGAGTTATAGTGCACACGGACGAACGGACAATACAAAACTATAAAGGCTCTGAAGATCCTTAAAAATTAGTGTAATTTAGAGTTTTGAACAAATAATAATAGGTATAAAGGTAACGAAATACATTTCAATTGAATTCAGCTTTTTTTCGACTTCTAATAATAGCATTGTTTAAAGACTTATAATAAAATCCATACATTCTGGGTAAACTCCCATACAAATGAATACCGAACGAGCTTCGAAATTGTTTTTGGCTCGATAGTCTACCTCTACGTAGCTGAAAAACAATAACGACCTTTCTGATTTGTGTTAAAATTTTCAAAGGGATATGGGACGTTTTTAAACAAAGTTATCGTGCACACTGAACTGACAGACAGACAGACAGCAATACAAAATTATAAACGATCTCGAGGATCGTTAAATGTGAATAATCCACATTACGTCAAAAAAATTGGGCAAATGTTACGATTTACCTTTTACAGGGATGGTATTGTAGGGACTTGAAATCAGAGTGTATTTACTGCACCGTCGCATGCATTTTTTTATACAAACATAGGACGGCATACGAATTGAAAAATTGAACCATTTGTGAAATGAGGCAACCATGATTCAACTATTAAATATCAGAGGTCGCAGCATGTTTTAAAATCGAAAGATAGTAAAGAATTATCTTTGTAGTAAATAAATTGTGCTGCCACATCGTGTCGAGTAGGTGGTACTATGTACTTACACAATTGGTTTGTGTATACTCTAAATTTAATTACTTTCATATGTTGGCTTCCATGACCTTGTACACATTCCTTTGCTTATTTTAACGAGAAAAAAACAGCTGGTTGGCATAGATTAAATTACATTTAAAGGTACACGCAAAAAACGATTATGCGCTATTACTAGAGTTATTTAAGTGATCTTAATTCTTATAATAATGCTTTGACATAGTGAATTTAAAAGGATACATAGGGGAATTTGCTTTATTTAGAAAAAAAACTGTTTGTTTTTGTTTATTTTGTCATTCAATTATTGTAATCATTATTTTCACCAAACTTCATACTATACGTTATGCGATCAAAAAAGAGTTATCAAGTAACCTTTGGAATTTTTGGTTACCCAGAAAATCCGCGACTCGATTGTCAGTCCTTTTTTGATCGCTCGTTATATGACAAGCCGGAGAAATCCTACTCTGGGGTTATAGGGGGCGTAGAGTCCATATCTGCCCTCGAAATTGACAGAGGATGCCCAGGGGCGGCGCTACGAGCACAGTGACGTAAAAAATTAACCATGGCGAAAAAAAAGTTACTCGGGGCAATTCATATTACTGAAAATTCACCCCCGCCCCCCATGATCTCTACCTCTGAGCATACCCGGAGAATTTTTCAAGCGTAGATCTGGTCTCTGCGCCAACTACCCCCCCCCCCCATTATGTTTATAATTGTTACACAATAGATAATAAATGCATTTTTGCACCCCTGGATTTTTTAGGAAATGCACGTCGTAGGATAGACATAGGATACGGCCGAT